TCAGCAACTACACCATATTTGTGGATTCAAATTTACAAAATCGTACATAGTGAACACAATGAAAGCAGTAGATATTGTGTTTCTCAATAAAGCAAGCAATTGCGCAATTCTGTGGAAATTGTGTCCTTGTCTATAAGTAGACGTGCTAGATATGGCAGAACAGAATTGCGATAAGCACAGGTACGTGCAAATAAAGGTTTAAATCTTGAGCGTGTGGATGATGTAGATACAGCTTTTGAAAATTCATTGTGTAATGGGTGGTGAGTGTCTGAGGGTATTTTGGCGGCGAAATTTTCACATGCTTATAGGTGTCTGTCAGTGATGGAATCGGCCAGTTTATCCCTGACAATACCACTACATTTAGAGATGTGTTTTAGAGATCTCGCCAGTAAATAAAAGTCTTTCTTCAACATACCGGGAAAAATTACTGGAGAGCAATATATTCAGTGGGGTAGCACGCATGCATTCACAAATCTAACAACCAGCTTGTGGGAACAGAAAGTAATCTCAATCGGAGTGAGAAATATGAAAGCTTTCTAGCTTTACAGAATGTGATTCGAACGTGCTGTGACCATAATAAATTGTGTGATAGGGTGACGCCAAGGTATTTTACTATTTTTGATTTCGGTAGGGGTTGTTGATTTGCAGAGAGGGTGGGGAACCTACCTATAAGGGCTAAATATGGTACATCGGACAAGAGGGAAAACACAACATACTGACATTTAGGGGCATTCAATGAGAGGGAACGGGACAGGGACCAAGTGATAACGTCATTCAGCTTGCTTTGAATTTCGGAAGCCTCTTCTGGAGTGGATGCTTTGCAACCTATAACAACGTCATCAGCATATTAACAGCCAACGAATGCAGGAGAAATGGGAAATTGTTTGACATACATAGAAAAGAAAAATGGGAAAATATTGCACCTTGCAGGACACCAGAAGAAACTGGGCGAGTGGAAGACTTTTTGCCGTTGAGACGTAAACTGCCTTCTATCTGCGAAATAATCACAAATCAGTCTGCTAACGCTTGAATTTACTTCACTTTCAGTAGTCAGATTGAGCAATACTGATCGATCAAGACTGCCGAAAGCGTTTTGTAGTCTAAGAACATCATTCTAACGGTCTTATTTTTCTTACCTAGTGCCGAGATTATTAAATAAACGAGATATACAACGGCATCCAGTGTTGACCGCGAGGAGCGATATGCATATTGATATATGTCGTCTTCGTCAGACTCAGTATCAACCCACGGTAATAAGCATCTCTCAAATGATTTGAGCATGACTGACGTGCAGGCGATGGAACGATATGCACCAGGTTCCTTTTTTGGAACGGGAGTTATTTTGGCCAGTCTCCAAATATCAGGAATTTTTCCACTTGTGAGACAGTAATTGAATATTTTTGACAATGGGGCTGAAAGGGTACCCGCACATATTTTGAGTACTACTGGTGATAGTTCATCAGGGCCCGATGCTTTATTCAACTTAGT